GCCATGGAGAAGCTCAAAAAGATGTTCGCTGAAGTGACCTACCTTCATGAATAGATATAATATCTGGTACCTGAATCCACCAAAAAATATAATACAGCATTCGCGTGGTGCAATTCGAGGCCCTTTGGTGGGGCCACGATTGATGTGTTTTCCTTCGTTTTCGTCGATCTTGTTCTACATAATGATGTGGAGTTTCATAACCTCGTCTGGTAGCTTGGCGGGTACGCTGAATAGGTCTAGATGCACACCTTCTGGAATCGTGAAGTTGGTTCCAAACACCGCGTCAATTCCAGCGCTATGATTTATAATCCAGACCTCGAACACGGATACGCTCTCCCATCCGAGAGTACAGCACACCGACTCGTCGCTATATTTCCCTTGAGTTATTCCTTGTATTTCGATGCGACGGTCATGGCTTAAAATGTCTTGTTGCCCGAGACTCATGGTGTACCTCTCCGTGATGGATAATATAAATATACTCCCTATCTTTAAGGATTTGGATTCGAGACTCGTTAATGCCCCGTAGAACAGCGTCCTCATTCTCACTCGTCTGTCGTACGTCTGCTTGCTCCACCACCTAGCTTGTAGCCGCTCTTCCTTGTCGAGTCGCCGGCTTGAAGCACACTTGCCAGCCAGTCTATATCTTCAGTCATGTTCCAGCATGTTATTTCACACACTTCACCTCCACCTAGGTTTACACCTCTCTTTGTCCTTAGCCCGTCGGGCTCACAATTTTGTCTCGTTCAGTTTGCGTCATTTGCATTTCCCAGCAAAGGCATAGATGCACCCTTCCTTCATAACGGCTTCGGCTAGTTGTGGCCGCCCGATGGAGACCAACCCAGCTTCAGTTGGCAGGCTGTCTAGTTTAAATGGTCGTTGAAGTGTAGACTCCGAAGCTCCATACAGAGATCCTTTTAGTGTTCACGTTGGTACGCGGTTCGCAAATTCTTAGAAAACTTTGCGCTTTCATGCATTGCCCACCTCCTTGCATTGTTTGCACCGACTGTGGCGGTAATTGGCGGAGTGAGAATGCCACCACAGACTGCGCAGATTCCGCACTCCCATCGCCCTCGCGCTCATTCCGACTTTGGTACCGATCATCACGTACAACTTGCCTCAGGTAGCAATCTTAACGTTGTCCGCGTTCTGCGGAGTCACGCCTGAGAATCCAGTACTCTGATCAGCCGTACTTCCTATTCACACCAGTGCGTTTCTCATTCATGTTGTGACTGTAAGTTATCAATCTCTTCCGTCGGAGGAGAGTCGCCACTACGTTCATTGCTTGAATACTGGGTTTTACCGCAGGTCCATATAGCCAATGTCAGCGCAGTTGGGATGGGGTTCGCCTCGTTTTATGTTTTTGCCGAGCCACAAAGGTCCATGTTATGCATATTCCTTGGATATCGAATTAGAGTGCGACCTGTACATGATGCGTGTCTTTTCAGTCTAGGAAGGTTGTTATCACCATGTTGCAAAACAAGCGGCGCATGTGACTTGTTCCGACTGTAGTAGCAGACGGGTGCATTTATCTTCAAGTTTGCATAGCTAAAATAGATGTTTCGCCTTGACTAGGATGAGAAGGTAAAGGAAAAGGCTGGTAAAACGCAAAATGCAGTGGAACTATCCCATTTATGCCATAAATATGATTAGGTTTGCGACATGGTGTTCTTCTGTCCGGTATTTTATTGTAATAGGCAGAAATCCAATTGCTTACCTAATCCATTCTCGGAGAGTATTTGGATTGATACAAACGTAACAGAGTGGTGAAAGCTAAAAGGTGCCTGAGTCGTCATTTAAGCATCTGAAATTGAAGCTGGTGTTGTAGATAGTTATACCCATATAAGACACATTAGGCGTCCTTTTACCGCGAAAATGTTAATGTTAGACCTTTCTTTCTTTGCGCGTGCTCTTTTATTGAAGCAAATGACTGTACCAGTTGCCAGCTAGAGACAGTTGGGCACAATTACCTATTTGCATGTTCCAGTGCCTTCGTCGGGTTAACACTTCGCATTTGACATTTTGGCATTTTCATGTGATTGTAGTTAGAAAAGCCACTTTGGTATTTTGACATTTTATTTTGGAGAGCAACCATAAAAATGTCACCAAAAATTGTCGTCAGTACAGATTTTGTCAAAAGTTGTCCAAATAAGTAAGGTGACGAAACAATCACTTGTGCCAGTACCCAATTCAATACATTCCAATGCAGATGCAACAGATGCGTGCTGGCCGTGCGCCTCAGGTGCCCGTGCCGCCCGCCAATGCTGCGCCTCTCAAGGTTTCAAGGGAGATGCAGCAGCAACTGCGGCAGGTGCGGCACAGTGCGTTCGAGCGGCACCAGGAGAATGCGCAGTGGACGAAAGAGCTTCTGGAGGGCAGCAACAGACAAAACGAATCGGTTAGGACGGCCAGTGACCTGGCAGCGTCGCAGGAAGAGCTTCAAAAGCGCATCGAGGACAAGGAGAAGTCCACTGACGAGCTGGAGCAACAATTGGTGCAGCAGGAACAGGCGCAGCAGGCAGCACAGCGCAGGTTTGTTCCTTCCGTCTGAAATGTTAGCATTTTAGTGAATTTCAAGCGGCATAACTCTCCGCGCATTGGTAATGGTTTTGCTCTAGATTCGAAGAAATACTTGCAGCGCTAAAGGCGGCGGGAGACGCGGCTGCATTAAAGGAATGCGAGGAAAAGCTGGAGGTTGAGAGGAAGCTTCTGCCAAACAAACAACGTAAGATGGAGATTGTCCGATTATAGACCCAACACCGTGTGCATTTGGGGAATATGGAGAGGGGATCAAGTTGCAGTCAGCATTATAGCATTAGCACGTTGCAACTACGTCGTCTCCAACTCCTTCCTTCATGGATAGCTACACTTTCCATATTATTGCCCAATCAGTTGGCCCTTTCATTTTTTTTTTTTTCTCGATCTTTTGTTCTCATTTTAACAATGGCAAGCACTGTACAGGAGAACGAGTCGAAGCTGTTAGAGCCTTACGCGTACATCAGCGAGCTGCCAGGCAAGAACGTTCGTGGCAGGATGATCAGCGCCTTCCAGTCTTGGTTGCGCGCGCCCGCCGACGCCGTGGAGAGTATCCAGAGCATTGTGGACGAACTGCACAACGCCAGTCTGCTCATTGACGACATCGAGGACGACTCGGAGATGCGACGTGGCCAGCCTGTGGCACATCACATCTTCGGCGTGCCGGCCACCATCAACTGCGCCAACTACGTGTATTTCCTGTCGCTACAGAAGTGCCAGGCACTGGGCAACCCACGAGCTCTACAAGTCTATACCGACGAGATGCTGCGACTTCATCAAGGCCAAGGGCTCGATATCTTCTGGAGGGACCATTTGCAGTGTCCTACAGTGGACGAATACCTTGAGATGGTTCAGAACAGTTGAGTGCTCAAGTGTGCTGGATATTATATATTGTGAACATTTACTAATTTTACACATTATTTACTAGAGACGGGAGGACTTTTTCGACTGGCAGTGGGACTGATGCAAGCTTTCAGCGACTGTACGATGGACTTTACGCCGCTCGTGAACGCCCTGGCCGTGTATTTCCAGGTCCGAGACGACTATGTCAACTTGCTCGACGAAGCGTATATGGAGAACAAAAGCTTCTGTGAAGACCTGACTGAAGGAAAATTCTCCTTCCCGCTCATTGTGGCAATTCGCGAAAACCCTCAGGACACACGGCTACTGAGTATTCTGAAACAGCGCACCAAGAGTATCCATCTCAAGCAATACGCGGTCCAGTATCTGCGTGAGACAGGAGCCGTAAACCTCACACTGAGCAAACTGAACTCGACAGTTGAGGAAATTCGAAGCGAAATCGCCTTGCTAGGTGGCAATCCGGCGTTAGAACAAATCGTGGATGGATTGCACGCTACGATTAAGTAGAATCTGCCAGCTAAGCCTCAGGAAACATGACAGGGTATTTTTTCCAGAGCACACAAGTACTCAAGTTTTAATTCATCGCTGCTAGGCTGGCCATCGCCACAAAACTGTCATGTCATGTATTCGTATCGGCTGTTCATTCTTCTACCCTTCACGGCTAGAGCGACGAGCGTGCCAAGTCCACCTAAAGCGGCCAGTGGAGGAACGCCAACCATCAAGTAAATTGTACCGGCTCCCAATTCACCGTTTCGTTTCACGAAGAACTACATGCTCTTGACCTCTTCCTTGGTGAACTTTTGGGATTCATACCCACCAGAGATTTCATTTTGCGAAGCTCGGAGTTCTTCTCAGCAAATGTCTTCGCTTTTTGTTTCTCACCTTCGTTCATTGATCACGTCTTCAGCTTCCCTAGACTGTGTATCTTCTTTTGAAGAGATTCCATCTCGTTTATCTTTTTAACGCGTTCTCATCGTACAAGAATAGTGAGCTGCAGCCAAACGGAGAAGAGGGAGTTTCTCCAGCAACACTAGGGAAGCTCGCTCGACGTGTGCGTGAATCGATACTCCAACGTGATGACGCCTATTTGCGTGACGCTATGGATTTCGTGACTGAGCAAAGCGATATTTCCGCTGTCCAAGTAGGTACGAACTTTGTTTTTGGCCCTGATCTCATGTTCACCTCGTGGTTGCACATGGGCATGTACAACGCTGAGTTTGATGGTGTGCATCCTTGGTTTGCATGTGCTCCGCAACTGCCGGGCTTTGATGGATTTGCGATGGTCACTGAGGCCCAAAAAGGAGGCGACGGGATCGACGTGGGTGTGTTCCTTGAATGCACGGCCATGGAGAAGCTCAAAAAGATGTTCGCTGAAGTGACCTACCTTCATGAATAGATATAATATCTGGTACCTGAATCCACCAAAAAATATAATACGTGTCTTCATTTGGGTTGGTTTTAGTGATATGTAATTACGATACTGACGTGGCTAAAAAGAAATAGTACTTCAAAGTACATGGATTTTACTACGTAGTATACCTTAGTGATGTGGTAGTACAGTAACGACGTAACTAGAGATGTGGTTTCGTTGATACACCAACTTCATTCACTGCAAAGACCAAGATACGACTCGGATTGATTGTATTGATGTGGCCTGACTCATACCTGGTTGACGAGACGAGACCTGTTCCTACCCCTTCAGTACACTGGTGTCCCTCCAGTACGCGGTCCCAGGACGAGTACCCTCAGTTTCGCATTTACCTCGTTGTGGTCAAGTGATCAAAAACCATGGTCAGCCTCACTACACCCATAACAACCAAAGACAATGTACTGATCCCGCTGTCTCCGATGGATGCTGTCATGAACACCTATCGTGTCGTCCTTCTCTACATTTATCCTCCACCTTCGCCCGATGCTGTTGCTTTCGACCTCGACAAGTTGCACCGTTCGTTCATCACCCTGATCGATGAAGACTACCCTGTTTTAGTCGGAGAACTCAACGTCGATGGGGAGATTGTAAGCGTCAAGCAAACTCCATTGGCGAGACAACAGGGTGGAAATGGGATTCGATTCGAAACGAACCCGACGAGTCCACAGACTACGGAAGACGCGATCGCTTCACTATCATGGGAGTTCTTGCCAAAACCTCGAGCTCAAGGAGAGATTATCGCCGTCAAAGGATCCATTCTAGCCGACGGAGGAATGGCAATCGGAGTTGATTGTAGTCATGTTCTATTCGACGGGGAAGCCATGCTGACTTTCATGAGAGTGTGGGGTCAGCATTACAGTGGATTGCCTAAGGAAGATCGACTGGTCATCAATCACGACAGATACCTGCTCTCTGGAACAGGAGAAGCTCATCGATTTCCTCATCCCGAGTTTCAAGTTGCTCCAGCTGAACCTCTCGTTCGAAGGAAAGATGGATCTCTAGCCCCAAAGACTGTGACAACACCACCAAAAACGGATCAGCATGTGTTCCACTTAACCACTTCGAGTATGGCAAAGCTCAAGAAGCTAGCTGAGCATGCACCAGAAACTGAGAAGAGTCGACAATCGCGACGTAAACGAGAGAGGATCCTGGCTAAGCTCCTGTCGATCTTCAGGTCAAAAGGCAAGAAAGTTGCTCAAGCTCAAGCGGCACCAAGGCCTTCGTACGTCAGCACGCTCGACACTATCACCGCGTTGTTCACTATCCTCATCTCTCAAGCTCGTGGCCATGGAAAACCTGTACGAGTGTCAACTGCAGTGAACGGGCGGAACCGACTGAAGCCCCCGCTACCTGCCAATTATTCGGGGAATGCGGTATTCCACGCGATATCAACGTACTCGAGCGGAGAGCTTCAGGGCGAAAGCAATGTGGTATCAGCTTCGACACTGTCTCACGTCGCCCGTGGTGTCCGATCTTCCATTATGGAACGAGATAATGCGTTCATGCGCGATGCCATAGCGTTCATTTCCAACCAGAAAGACCCGGCTGCTATCAACGACAACGTCAATTTCTTCTTCGGTCCTGACATAGCGTTCACATGCTGGGCGAAAATGGGGCTGTACGATGCTGAGTTTGACGGAGTCAAACCTTGGTATGCCAAGATTCCTCGTGTTCAATGCATGGACGGGTTTGTGCTGATCACGGAAGCTCTCAAAGGAGGAGACGGACTCGATGTCCTCGTTTGCTTGGAATCAACAACGATGGTAAAACTGAAGGAACTGTACGCTAACATCGACTACCTCCAAGACTAGGTCACTTAATTTCCATCTACAACATTCCAATAAAGTTTAACACAACTTCCTTTTCCAAAGAAATGGGTGGGATTTGGTCACAGTGAGATGCTTTACGTCGTTATTAATTTCCAATTCAATTACTTCAAGTAATACAGCAGCTAAACTTTTATTCATTTTAATAATTAAAACTACTATAATGTTTTTGTTGTTGCAAATGTGAGACCATCCAACACACACTACGCTTTCCGTCATTTTAGGTCTACCACACAAACAACTTACTTAAGTACAACAAATATCTCGGAAGTAGTGATCATGTTGGAGAAGGTTCAGCTGCTCGTGACCGTCGTCTTCGGCAAGCAATCGACGTCCCTGAGCGTGCCAGCGCAAAGTCCTCAGAGCCTGGAGCTGCTGAAGACGCAAATCTACGAGAAATTCCAGCTGGAGCCCAAATTCCAGCGCTTGGTGCTGCGTGGCCGCGACGTCAAGAGCGGAACAGCCCTCACAGACGGCTGCAAGCTGCTATTACTGCGTAATCGAGCGTATTACGAGCAACCCGCAGCTAAGACGCAAGCCCCAACTAGTGGAAACTCTTCTTCAGATTCACCGTCACCTCCAGCATCAAATGTTGGATCCAAATCTCCACCTAAAGCCCAAGAAATCGACGTGAATGAGCTGGAAGATGACGCTCTATTGGTGCAGGTTTTCAGGGGCAAAGCTCGCTACGACCTCATTTTCCTACGATCTGGGAGTATTCTAGATGTCAAGAAGAAGGTCAGTGCAGTGTTGGGGCTCAGTTCACCTCACGCGTTGAGGCTGGTGGTCAAGGGGAAAACTCCAAAAGACGATACAATACTGGAGACTCTAACGGCCAACAAGAAGGTGGTCAAGACCATGGTACTGCTACAAGAGCGGCAGCATGTGATGCGAGAGAAGGAAGAAGATCTAAGAGAATTACTCAATGAACTGGCCAGTGCGCAAGTATCTCTCCAGCGAGTACAGAGGCAAATGGCACGCAATTTCACGTCTAGAGACGAGAGCTTGTTCGAGTTGTCGAGGGTGCTGGACGAGGGACAACGAATCGCGGACAACTTGGAGCTGGTGCAACAGCATTTAGCAGGAGCCAAGGCTTCAGGACCCCGTGCGAGTGAACAAACGTTGGCTGCTGTAGCACAAGCGATTCAAGAGGCCAATGCACTGACTGAGGCAGCTCAAAGTCTGTTGGAAACGCATTCGTTATTTTGAGAGAAAGTATATTGACACAAATTATTTTGGGACGTCGGTTAGTGGAATGCATTTACTATCAGGTAGGTGACTGTGGAGACCTGCTGGATCGCTAGCGGAGGATGGCTATGCCACTCATCGCGGTGATTATTGCGTTGATTCATTGACGACATCGAGGACGACTCGGAGATGCGACGTGGCCAGCCTGTGGCACATCACATCTTCGGCGTGCCGGCCACCATCAACTGCGCCAACTACGTGTATTTCCTGTCGCTACAGAAGTGCCAGGCACTGGGCAACCCACGAGCTCTACAAGTCTATACCGACGAGATGCTGCGACTTCATCAAGGCCAAGGGCTCGATATCTTCTGGAGGGACCATTTGCAGTGTCCTACAGTGGACGAATACCTTGAGATGGTTCAGAACAGTTG